AAATGAAGATGTTATAAGAGAAATATTAAATATTTTATTAGTAGTTACAAAATTCGTCAATTTGGGGTCAAATACGATAGTAGTTGTTTGAGATGGCTTTTACTTATATAATGCACATGGCACACATACAAGTAAACCATAACAAATCTTATTATAGTCATAATTAATAAATTAATGAAACAAATATAAAGTAATAAAATTATTGGATTCATAGTTGTACATAGTTGTTAAAAGCACGCCTGAGACGCGATTAGGCTCTGAGGCTCATATGGCTCAAGGTCTTGGGATTTTTTAAAGCCGAGGCTTGGCATATTCACGAGGCTCACCAAGGTGCTGATGCGCCTTGTGGGCCTAGGTGCGCCTCATAAAGAGTTACTAAATACCTAGTCAAACCCTAATATTAATTAAGTTCTCTCATCTTCTCATCTCCTAGACTACTTAAAAAAGAGTTATTAAATAGATAGTCAAACCCTAATATTAAATACCTGAACCCTAGAACTTTAGGCCCCCTTTTCTATAAATACACAGACCTTAAAACTTTTTCGATCACGGCTCACGCTTTAAACATTTCTCCCTTCTGCCTCTATTGAAGTACTGTTGGTTGCTGCATTGGAGGCTTTGCCGCATATTTGAGTTGTTACAACTGTGTGTGTGTTTCTCTCTCTCTCTCTCTCTCTATATATATATATATATATATATATATAAATATATATATATATATATAAATATATATATATATAAATATATATATATATATATATATTATTTTTGATAAGATGTGCCTCACATTTTTTAGGCCGGCGCCTTTTGCTTGCGCCTCGGGCCTAGTCCCCAGGACCCATTTGCGCCTAAGTTCGCGTTGAGCCTTTAACAACTTTGGTTTTGTAGTATATGGAGAGGGGATGAAAGGTTTAAAAGTGGGTTGGATTGGTGTTATGGGGGTTGATGAAAATGAGAAAGAAGAAGGGTAACATAGGAAAAAAGGAATGATAAATGGTATAACATTCCATTTGGTCCTTAGCCAAACGTCATCCACATATGACAGATAAGATGATGGTTCAAGCAATCAAACACCCACTAAGCTATAAAGATGCACTCCAAAGATTTGGGATTGAACTTAGCTCCTTTGGATGGACACAATTAAAAGTCACCAAGGAGTCATGAAAAAGTGGATTAGAAGGATATCATGTCTTCTTTCTATGCCCCAACTGGATAAACTATGAGATTTCTCACTATTCGTATGAAAATCGTAATATATTCGGCCTCTTCCTAGAGGACACCTGTTCAAGTCCCCCAGTTCCTCCAAGGCCGTTGTCGATTTTCTTGGTTGTTCTTAGGGCCCATGGGATTAGTCGAGTTGCACACAAGTTGGCCCTAACACCCAAGATTAACAAGAAAAATGGATATAATCGTCATATAGATAAAATTAAGAAGATGGTTGGTAGATATAAAGGGTTGTGTTTGTGTTTCCTTCTTTGTTATAACCCACTTTCGTTGTCTTTGTTTATGCTAACTGTTACTGTTCATGTTGCTTGTTGGCTGACACTCAACACTTCTTTTCTTGTTTCTTTTTGGTTTACAAGCCAAGGATCTTCTTGGAAACAACCTCCTTACCCCTTGTGGTAGAAAGGTCTATATACAGGGTTTGTTTATGTAGGGTTTATATCAACAAGTAACCTTCTAAAACGCAGCAGAAAATTAAAATTAGGTTACTTTAAATGAATCCGAACAAACCATAGGGTGTTTAGAATATTAAAGAAATCCTATCCGTATTAAAGTTAAAATTATCGTAGAAATAAAGAAACCCCATCCCTATCCAGTGACATATTTAAATGAATCTAAACAAACCATAGGGTGTTTAGAATTTTACCTTTGAGATTTGTATTAGGTTCTGATGGAGCACTAGAAACCAAGTTACGTTTCCTCTATGTAGATCCACATATGAACACCCTAGGCCTCGACAAGGTGCTAGCCTGAAAACACTAGATTTCTAGTATGTGTTTAACAGGAAAAATAGGTTTCTTTTCTGTTTTTCTCTGATAATCTCTAAATCTAAAAAGATTGATTAACCTTTTAGGCTTAGGCCTATCACCTTATTTACAAGTGGCCATTGGATAGATAGACCATAATCCCCAAACTTGGGCCGAACGTATCATAACCCATAAGCCCCTAAAGCCTAAATAAAGGTTTTACTTTATTAATCATAATAAAATTATATATAAGTACATTTACACATCAAACCCTGTAATTATCGTAATTACACTCTTAACACATACTTTTGTTATTCTGATAGAATAACTATTTAATAATCAACATGATATATTCGGGTTTCTGGTTATCCAAAAACCATATCGTAAGATATGTATTCTTTGTGTGCGACCCTATAGGTTTACATACTCCTTGGCAATATTAGAAGGCTGTTTGGCAATTGATGAATGGTTGGGTGCAGGATGATTAAGTGGTTATAATGATTAAAGGCTCTTATGATATAGTGCAAAATGAAATATGGTTGTTTGGTAATTGTTCAGAATGAAATTAGGGCGCTGAATGGTTCAGGGAGGCCCAAGATACAAAATCAATCAGAGGGATTTAGAACCATTAAGAGGTAACACTTTTTTTTGCCAAACAAGATTCACCTCTTCAGCCCCTTAGTGTGTGACACGTGTTGTGGGAATGTAAAAACTTACAGTTTCGTTTTGGTAAATTAGATAGCATATTATCATAGATGAAGTTCGAAGGATAATAGGAGCTAGAGGGGATGTCAACACATTGGACGAAAGATGGTGTGAATGTAGTTATATGACACAAGAGTAGCTATAAAGATGCATTCCATAGGTTTTGGACTCTAATGTTGCTTCTTGGGACGTATCCTAAAAAAGCTAAGCACATTGAAAAGTCACTCAAGAGTCTTGAAGAAATGGAATCGAAGGTTATAAAATAGGTGAGGTATACATTAAGAATGAATGCATGCATTCACTTGATAAGGAAATTGGTAGTCAACACCGTGTCACTCTTCCCACAAAAAAATTGTCTCTACATTGCAACGAATAAGAAATATGTGGGCATCAAAGTAGATACAAGCTTTTACATCGAGCAACATTTTTCTTCTAAAGCATGTTTGCAGTAAGTTTTGATGCAACCTTGCAGGCTACCATAATCAAGCCATAAACTTATAAAATAGTTGTTTGTAAATAATATGTTGAGTAGTCACTATGAAAGATTCAGATAGAAGTAAAATTGACTTGACTAAAAAACACAGACTTGATTAAGGAACACAATATATTTACCTAACCAAAAGACTAGCATAGTAACTCAAAAATTTGGTCTCAAGTGCTCGAAAATAGGGTCGCCATGGCCAGAAATAAGCTTCTCTAATACTAGCATTACAAAAGTGTGCCACCGGAATCTATGAGATGTCCAATCAATGAAGCCCATGACTTCTATACCTCTAACTTCTGGAAAAACAAAATAAGGAAAGAAAAAGGTCATAGAATAGTTCAAATTGCATGTAATTTGTCCAACTAATACAATGATATTTTAGATGGATGACACATAAAAAAGAGCGAGGTCTTGTTTTACTTATATGCATGTCGCCAAGTCCTTCTATGAGATGGTAGGAGTGTAGGACTTACCGGCACATCAAGTGATAAGTTGTGCACCATACCAAGGCAAGATGATGTCAGACATACCTGAAAATGCTATATAGGCACTAGCGGAGGATGTCGTTTTTTTTAGAATGCAAGACCCTAAGGCTAGATATCTTCATCATTTGGGGTTCCTCAAAAATCAACTCAACGAGGACCAAGTGGAAGTTGAGAAAGAGGGCCCTCCTTTGGCTTTAGGCAATCAAACTTCATGTGAGACTTATAGTTCACGAATCTCCTAATTATTTCAAAGCAGCTAGAAATAGATTCTTTAACCAGAAAGAATTCCAGAAGTTTTCACAACTCAATCATAGATGATGGAATCATCAAAGATTTGACCTTTCGAATTCCATCTGTATCACTAGAGACCCAGAAAACGAAGAGAAGATGTGTACAAACGAGATATGCAGCAACAAAAAGGAAAAAGGATTGCACAAAGGAACTCCTAAACGTTAGTCAGATGTGTTGATATCAATTGTGACTTATTATTTCAATGAATCAGTTCTTCAGATAGAAGAAGATTAGGGAACACTTGCTCGGAATTTCACTTATCAGATTCTGTTGTGGAAGACAATAATTTTTTTATGGCTTTGCATCTTTTTAGGCTGAGGCAGGGATAGATTACAAGAACTTGATGGTTGGGAACATTGATTGGTAATATACTTGTACCAATCCTTAGTAGTACCAGTCACCAAAAAAAATGAACGTGTTGAATAAATGAAATGTGAATTCTTTTGTCAAAGGTTGTTCCCATGTTTACACAATAGGGCTCTAACATGGAAGATAACGTGCAAATGCTCGCAAAGGGTCTTTGTTGCTTACAATTTATGGTCCTTGACAAAAAATCAGATTCCATGGCTGACATGATGCCTCAAGAATTCCATTTCGTCAGCATCCCATTTATTGGTCATAGAAGTGGGACGATTGCTTAGATAGCGTCTCTTCATGAGTTATAACCATCGAATTGAGTTGGAATCAGTCAAACTTTGTGGGTAAGTTGGTTCTGCATTACGGGTCAACATTATGTTTGGTTATTGGATGGCTTCAAACTTTTGTCTAATATCAAAACATTATCTTCTGCGGAGGTGGTTATTATGGCAGTTAATCGTGGGTTTAAGTTGGGAGTTCTTGCTACAGATGTTTAAGTTGACCTGCATTACGCTTTTAACAAATGAGTTTTTGTCTACATGGAGAAGTTATCATGTTTCTAGGAACATATCTGTAATTTTCCTCTCATGAATAGTCATTTGGCCCAAGTGTATGACATTTTATGATCATTGATGTTGTATTTGTCTTTTATGTTTTTGAACTGTTGTGCTTACGACTAACATAAATGTTGCTGTTGAAATCTTGCAGGATAGAAGCGGTTGGTTCCGGCGACTTGTAAGTATTCTTCTTATACTTTGTACAATGTCCTATCATTCCATGACAAGCTTCTTTTCTTTTCATATCTGCTTAATTCTGTACTTATTCTTTAGCTCATTAGTATGTTATTTAACTGGTGATTCATTTTCCGTCTTGTTTCCAACCATTTATTTGGATGTATCGACTACCAAATGGTGTTATTCTATGTCACAAGAATTTCCCATGAGGAACTCACCTGCCTTTTTTCTGAACAATTGCTAAACAGCTTATTTTCCATCCATCTTTTTCTCCCTCTGGTTATTTCCGTTCAGTTCTCTCTTCTTCCTTTTTAATATGGCCACTTAGATGATATGATCTTGGAAGTTCGTATTTCACCCCTGGACCACTTTGAAAGTAGTTTGCTTGCTATAAATTTGGTATCATTTAGATCCTTCGAAAGCTTTAATGTAAAACTTTCTTGTTAGGTACAGAAGTTGGATAAGAAAAGCATAAAACTGTATAAGGTTAAATGAAGATGGAAAAGAAGAATCTAATTTGTCAATCTTCATCAATTTTACTCTTGTCTTGACATTTAGCTTCAATATATCACTGCTTACCACTTATCTAAACTTTTGATTTGGTATTTTTTTTCATCTAGCCTTGGGAGGAAAGATTGAAGAATGCATATGATCAAGGAACAGCGGTCCTGCTCTATAATGTGGATCCAAATTATACTTCCGGAGAAGTTGAGGTATATGTCATTTCAATAACGCAATGGACTATGTCGCTTTCATGTGTGCAAAAACTTTTTTCCAACTGTCTTCTATCTGACTTTGTGTTATAGTTTTGGGTAGAGTATGACTATGAACCATCCATCTTCGCAAAGAACGTGGAATGTATTGTCTTGCTAAAATATTGAAGGATAAGTTTGATTGTTTCTACCTCAATAGACAACATGTATAAAAGATGTGTGTAGCTAAATCTGAATGACAAGCCGGTTAGGCCAACATTAATATCAAAGGATGCCTTTTGTGCCCCAAAACCCTTGGGAGTTCATCACGTTATGTTTGTTTCCACCATTCTTAAATTTCTTTTGGTTTCATTTGAGCCTTCGCCTAGTAGTTTGGAATAAAAAGTTTTTACTTGGATGTTGAAAACTAATTTGAATATCCAACTTCTACACTTGTATTTGTTTTTCTTCAATGTATAAAATATCCAGTGTATCTGATTGAACACCTCTTGTTAACAATTCTACCTGGTCATCAAAGAAACCCAATTCTGAAAAATCTGTTCAAGACCGATGATCATATGTTTGACAATTCAACCTGGTCCTCAAGTGTGTTTTTCTACAGCTTAGCCTTTGACCCATAAGTGTGAAAGTTAAGCACAATGTGCTTCTACTCTGGGCAGTTAATTGCGTGTTATAGCGGCTAGCGGTCATTTGGGAAATAGCGGTCTGCAAATAGTGGTACTGCAAGTTCCGACACTAGACACTGATATTTGATCTGAAATAGTGGTCGATAATAGCGCTATTCTTTGCCTGGTCTTTTTTGTTCTTGTTTTTGGGCTATTTAAAGTGGGCTGTTTTGTTTGAGACCAAGTTACTTCTATTTGACCCACAGCTTAAGATGTCGATTTGACCCAGACTTTAAGACTTTTATTAGGTTGAAACTTAAAAGATCTCGATAATTCCAATTCCAGACCAATTTTGTATATATAAGCAACGCCACTAGGATCACTTATCCCCAGACTCTAATTCAATCTACGATTCTACCCCTCAATCAACTCCTCTCCGCTCTCCAGACTCTACCAGCAACATTACTCTGATGTTTTCACCCATTGTCCCATACTCCTATTTATTGTTTTATTTTTTCAATTTATGAACATAATTGGATAGCTCTGGTTTATTATTTTATTTTTATAGGGCAGTAGTTACCAAGTAGTTTAGCAAGGTTAGCTCATCTAGTCGTTTATGAGCTTTATAAACTCTATTACTATGTTGCTTGTGTGGCTTGAATTGTTTGACTTGATATGTATTAGGCATAGAATATATTAAGCTTTATATATATATATTCAATTTATTTTATGAACGTAGTTCTTTTACTGTTATACCATCGCGAAAACCGCAATTTCAAATCACGGTCCCGACCACGATTTCCGCTAACGACCACGTTAACTGCGTAACCTCTACTCTTTTTTTAGAAGTATATTTCATTCTCCGTTAATGTTGTTTGATTGAAAAATTAGCTTTTGTCAACGAATGGTTTGTCATTGACTTCAATAATTTTTACATAAAATAAAAATATGTTTCATATAATTTTTCATAACGGGTCGATAGTGTTCTGACCATGGGTGACTAAATGCCTCTTCTGACGTACGTAGGATGAACTGAATTCTCAACCATATTGCAACTGAAATAGACCTGATTGCTACTGAGATTCGTTTTATGTAGTTTTTAGCAAGAACCCTGCATATCCACTAGAAGGTCCATGAATCCATGTGGATGTTCCTGCCTTCCTGGAAAATCGTTGAAGGCATGTGCTGAAAGCCAATTTTAGATGCTCACAGATATTTCTTTTACCCAATTCCTGACAAGCCGTGGTTAAATAATCAGGATAAACACAACTGATATATAGCAATGCTGGTGAGGTTAACAGTAGTAGTGTAGCTAATGAAATCATGAATTTATGATGTCTCTTTTTCATACCAGCAATTGTGTTATGGTTTTCAATGTATTTAATCAACACCACCATTTTTCAAAAACGAATTTTGATACATCCAATGATCTCAGGCTTAAAAGTTAAATGTAATGAGCTAATGGTGCTGCCAGTATCATCTGTTTGTTTTTTCTTTCTACACTAATAACATGCTGAGATGAGATTTTTTTCGAGAGTTATCCCTGATGTCTGCGATGGGTGACTATCAGAGCTTCAGTGTCTTTATTTTGGTTGGTTTTACCCCTGATGCCTATCATAGGAGAAGCAACGGATCCATATGAAAGTAGGATCTGGGATGCACACAATTATTTTCTTTCTGGGTTTCCATTGCTCTAAGTGCATCAAAAGATTACTTCACTCTGTTCTCCTTCTCTGGAGTTGTGGAAGTGTTTTTGTGAATGCTTTGAAATATATCTGTATGAGTTGTTCTATAAGGGCCGTGTTGACGATTATATCGTATTACTACAAACAGAAAAAAATGAGTTTGACTGCTTTAATTTGTTTTTCAGGATATAATTTGGCATGCTTTAACGGAAAATTGTGAAGCAAAGATTCTACAGCGCACTGCAGTATCTAGCCCACATTATGGTACATTTTGGATGAAAATAGTTGGGAAATGAAGTTGGAGACATTTACATTATGTCTATTTGTCTTTCACGTGTTACAGAAACTTAAAATTTTTAAACTTTCATGTGTAGGTCAAGCTCTCATTTTACTTAAGACGAAGGAAGCAGCACAGAGGGTTCTTGCAAAATTGGACGAGGAATGCTTAATGTTATCGAATGGGAGGTAAATTTCCACGTCCATCAGTTTTCTAAACCTACAGATAGTACACATATTAATTATTTTGTTTGGAACAAATAGTATACGTGTTGGCATGCATGAGCTATTTCCAGTAAGTCATGCTATAGCATTCATTTTTATCTTTCTAGTCTAAACTGGCACTACATTTGGTAAGTGTTTAAACTAGTATTTTAAACAAATAGTGTTTTCATATCAAATATTATTTAAATAGTTTCAGAGATATTATTATAGCGTTTTTTGTCATATTTGATATTATTATCTCAAACTTGTTGTGGCTTATGATGGTTAAACATGATAACAAAAGAAGTGCAGAGTATTCAAAACAAAAGCCAAGAGAATCTGGGAAAATGGCAGGATCTATGCTGACCAATAATATAGGACGAAAGAGATGGTAAAGGTCAATAACTGATATGCTAAACTAATGATTGCAAAACAAAGATGACGGATTTATTTACATCTCTCTTAGATGTTGGGTTCTTTTATCGTAATCAAGGTATTGCAAAAGTATGGCTTCAACAAGTTTGAGATAAAACAAAAGACTAAGGTCATTAGTAGAATGAAATCTATCACCCTGAAAGGCTTTAACTTTAATAATACCCTCAAGGGGCTTCATACTTTTATTTAGTGATATAAATGTTGGTTTCTTTTCATATCGAGTTCTTGGACACAAATTGCTATTGGATAAGGAATGGTTGAACCTCTAATCACCTTTTGGAATGATTTAGATTCAAAATCTAAAGTGATAGCAACAGTTATTGGATGATTACAGTTCTTATAGCTCTAATCAGTGCAGCATAACCAAAATTCTGGAAACGATGCATTTATAGGATATAATGTTAATTGGGTTTGCGTGTAGATATGCTGATTTATCATAATTGAGTGCATTACATGGATTTTAGCCAGCAACACCTTTTTCTGTAATTAAAGAATTGCAGTCTATTATGATTGTGACAGTTCATAGAAAATAACGATTCTGTCAGTGTAATGTTTTGACTTCATAGTCTGCAAGTTGAATGATCTAATTTGAAGTTCTTTTTCTTATTTCTTTATTTATTATTTTGCTAATGATGCTTTTTGTCATTATTTTTTTCTTTTTTGCTCATTGCAAGTTGATCTGCATTTTTTTTCGCAGGCCTCTTGTTGCTATCACTTGTCCTCCTATCTTAGTAAGGAAAAATTCCAACTTTTTTGGTCACCTTGCCATTGATAAACTGAAACTTCAAAATCAACGAGAAATGGTACCATCTCTCTCTCTCTCTATCATCTCTCTCACACACACATTCATGCACATGTGCATGAGTGCTTCTTATCTGTTTGTTATTCAGGTCTTCTATTTGTCAACTCATTATTTATCCATCCTCCAGGATGAAGCTGTATCCACGTCACATTTTTCGCAACCAAATACTATCGAATATGACATGGCCATGGAGTGGTCTTTACTACAATCACGGTCCAAGAAATGGTGGGAGATGATTCACAAGGTAGAACTACTTCATGTCATCTACACATACCAAATGTTGTCAAGAGTGTCGGCTGTTCTTGCTTTTTTTTTCTTTCCTTAGTTGAACTCTTCACTTTTGTTCTGTTTTAGCAACAAGGAGATGAACTGAGAAAAGTTAAGACTGCCCTTGTGAAAAAATGAGTGAAGTTTCATGGAGTTGCTGCAAAGGAAGAGGTTATCTGTTCATAGTTTTCACCACCATCGCAATCTTGCATGAAATACTTTTCAGGTATGCTGTGTAGACTGATTACATATTAATTTCCCGAGCACTTGAGATTCTATGTTATTTCTTGTTTCTGTTTTAACGTTAGAACACTAGCAAAGAGATGTATCCTTCTAAAAAGAATTCAACTTATTTAAGATATTATGTGAATCAATATACTTAATTACTTAGATCTATACAACTGATTACCTGATCATTCTCATATTCCCATTTCCGTTCCTTAAATCGAACAAAGCCCCCCCCCCCCCAAAAAAAATTGTTTCTTGCATTGTAGGCTGCTGTTTTCTTGTTTTCTTGTTTTCATGTTCCTTGGGTCATTTAGTATAGAAACCTTAATAAAATTTTAATTTAAATCCATGACCTTCTAGCCTATTTAAGAAAAAAACAGCTTCGAACTCATTACATCGTCAATTTAATTAGAATTTCGTTTAAGGTTGTATACCTATATATACCCATGTTGCTTTGGGTCCTTTGGTGAAATGACCTTATGACCTTCTGACATGTTTGAGGATGACGCTGCTTAACTAAAAATTATCATTTCCATACACAAGATTGCCTAGAAACTTGTTAAGTCATTGATTTAGGAAAAACGCTTGCCTAGAGGTCATTTAGCTAAATGCCCCCTGTCCGTTTTATCAGCTTTCAATATTATCAATGGCAACTATGCATGAGTTTGGGCTTATGAACGATTGTTTGCTCTGCAGAAAAGCGGTACATTGTACAATGCCACCTTAACGGAGCCACAGATCGGTTTTCCCTCGTTTCGTGCTGGTAGTTCTGTATTGTAGCCAACTCGACTCATGAAATCAGCTGTTCTTTATGGATCTTTGTTGAATCCTTGCGGGTTTTTTGAGATCCAGAAATATCATCATAGATTTTGGTACCATTTGAGGTTGAAGTCCTCCAGTTTTATAATGTTTCATCTTCATTGTCTTTCCAATTAGTTTCTAGTAATTCCAAGAATTATGGAGGAACTCTAATTGCATTTCTAAAGAATCATGGGTTGATGAAAATGAACTCCGGGTTGAACTCAACACCCGACCTGATTCGTCTTTGAAGATGCGGCCATTGAGAAGACTCTTTTTCCGTTTGGTTGCAGGAAATGAATGGATTTGGATTTCAAATTCATTTCAATCCCATGTTTGGTTTGTTGGATTGTTTGGATTTGAAATTCTAGGATTTAATTGAAATCCTTTAAACATAGGATCTCTTGAGGGGGTGTTCGTGATTTCATAGAATTGTATGAAATAAGGTTTCAGAAAAGGTTAAAAACATTTAATGTAACAATCGTTTAATAAAATTGTAATTTAATCATTTTTATAGTTATTTATAATTTTTCTTATAAATAATGGAATTCAATTCCATTTTAACCCTATAAATCAAACTCACAAATGATTTAAAATCCATTATAATTCAAACCCTTCAAATCCAAATCGTTCCATTAGATCCAAATTCTTAAAAAAAAAAAAAAAAAAAACAATTCTGCAAACCAAACGGACCATTGGGTCTTGTTTAGTTTAATAGGATTTGGAGTTTTATGTCATTCAAATCCCATGTTTGATTTGAAGTTTTTTTGAATTTAAAATCCTAGGATTTCATTGTAATCCTAGAAAAATAGGACGTTGAAATCCCATGGGGTTTGTATTTTGTGGGATTTTGTAGGATTTGTGTGTAATAATATTTTAAAATATGTTGAAAACATTTGTTTATTAATAATTAATTAACAAAAAAGGAATTCAATTCTTTTATAATTTGTTTTTATAAATTATTTATAAAAAGTAGAATTCAATTACATTTCAAATCCTACAAACCAAACAAATCAAAGATTCCAAATCCCTCTAATTACAAATCAAATCCAAATTTCTCAAAATCATTCCATCAAGTCAAATGCCCCCTTTCAAAGTCCAAACATATGATTTTGAAATCCTATGAAGTTGGAATTTTATGGGATTACGTAGATTTTATATGTAATAATAATTTAAAATATGTAACAAATACTTGTTTTGTAATAATTAATTAACAAAAAGAGTAAATTAATGGGTTTTTTTTTATAAATAATAAAATTTAATTCCATTCCAAACCAAACAAACAAAGATTTCAAATCTTTTGTCGAAATCCAAATCTCTTAAATCCTTAATTTGCTAATATTTTATTGGGGTTTTTTTTTCCGCATGAAATCAAGGTTTTGGATGATCGATTTTTGTTGTTGTTTCAATTTGGGGTCTACTTTTTCAATCGAGTTTGAGTCCGATACTCATTTGCGGGCTTGAGATTGAGATCAATAGTTTTTATATATTGGCTTGACTCAGCTGACGTGACTCGAAAAATTTAATCGAGCTTCCAAGTAAGTAGTGTGTGCTTGAAATCTATCCGAGCTCGAGTTTTAATAGCTTGTTAAAAGTTCAACTTGGTAACACCTCTAATCCTATTTATGAATCAACTCTTTGGCAAGGTTTCAAATGATACGAGGCCAAGTCTCAAGCTTTAGAAGCCATTGTGAGGTTATGACGTTTTTCAAGTCGTGACTTTTGACAACAAATTTCGAATATTATATATAAACATATTTTTTCTATTATTACTCGATGATTCAATGATAGAGATAGTTTAAGTTAGGCTTATAACTACGCATTAGGCTATGGCATGCTTATAGGCTTAATGTGGTGTGAGACACAAGTCTTGAGCCACGACGCGTCATAACGACTGTTTTTTTTTTTTTTTTTAATTAACTTGAATATCCACCCTGCTATGCGAGCTGACTAGTCCCAGGACGACCACCTGCTTTGCAAATAGCTCGGAGTCACCGCATTTGAACCTCTGTGGCCACAAGGATTTTTATTCCTCCTTGGATTTGAACCTGAGACCTCCTGATATTTTTTGACCTTTGGAGTCAAGTTCAAACCAATCAAGCCCCACCCTTGTGGTTGTCATAACGACTGTTATCGAAGCGTTTTAAAGCAGTGCTCTCTGGGCCACTAATTCTAATGTAGTCTGCTGTAATTTTTTTATTAATTTCTATTGTGGGGACGTTTATCATACGCTCACCGACAAGAGCCATCACCCTCATTTACCTTATTCGATTTACAACATTATTGACTATCAAAATGGTTCGTTGGTAACTCATATCATCTAGTAAGAGTTTAGTAAGTAAGAATATTGTTCCTCACTTACCTGGTAGATTCTCGACCCTTGTTATACTCACCCAGTAAGGTAAGTGACACCCATTAATTTTACATAAATTGTCAATTATTTAAGCCTGAAAAATTACATAAATTATATTATCAGAAATATCCATGAATCCAAGTGTTCAGTTTAATAGTGTTTAGCTCTTTTTGAATAAAAAATGATACAATATTCCATCTGAAAAATAGCGATCGGTTAAACTGTTTGAACAAAAATGATACATTATTCCATCTTAATTGACTTTTTTCAGACAACGTACTTTTGATTGATTATTGTGTCTTTTATTCGATCTTTTAGCCATCCTCAAAAGCTCATTTTCTTCATTAGTAATGATTACGATATATTTTCAAAAGAAAAACCAAGTGTCTTTATTTCAATTTACATTTAGGAGGGAGTTGTAACGTACCAATTGCTCAAGTCATCATAATCATAAAAACTGTGTTTTTCACAATAAACCAGATAAATTTATATAATCATTTAAACTATATTATAATGGTACTCGCGTAATACACTGAAATATATCTCGATTTTAATGTTTCGTTTTATTACTTCTCTGTAGATATCATAATACGGTTTTTATATAGTTTTGAGAAAAGGATAATGTTTTTAATTTTGAATAAAATATAAATTTAAAGATATCATAAAATTTCAATAATAAATATATCAATATTAATATCAAACTAACTATTTAAAAGTTCTTGTTTTTTGTGTACTTTATTTAATTCAATTTTTTATTATAATTTAATTTAGATTTAATAACGAAGTAATAATATAATTTTTATAAGAATAATAATTAAGTATTCTGTTAGAACTCAATGATTATTCTAATTATATTTTAGATTTTTTATATTTAAAATGAAATGTTTATCTGCAGTAATTAGTTACACAAATTAAAAAAATAAGCTTTAATAAGTTGTACTTATGCACAGTTTATTTGTAATCTTGAATTTTAAGTAATATTCATCAATAAACTGTACTTCATATATATAAAAAATGGTATTTAAGAGTTTTTATCAAATATTTAATAATATAGTATAGACTTAATAAGGTAAAAATAAGTAGTTAGAGAAGGTGACATATTGGATTCTCCAACTACTCTAACCTACAACTTTCATATGATAGTAGTAAGTAGTGGTTGAAGCAAACACCAAACTTCACTCCCCAAGTCTACAAGTAGTTTACCCTACCCCTTCACCAAACCTTTTCAATACACCATATCTTCCATTTTGGTACATATGATTTGTTCAAATACGGTGATTTCGGGCTATCTGCAAAGCAAGTGGTCGTCTTGAGATTAGTCGGCTCGCATAACGAGTTGGAACTCCAGGTTAATCAAAAAAAAATTACAAGATGATAATCGTGGTTTATAAAAACTTTTGGATTCGGTCTCTTCCTCTAATAGTCGTTAAAATATTCCGTTAAGTGAGAGACATTTTTAACATTTTATCGATTTTTTTTTGTTTTTTACCTGATCAAAAAACCAATTTTATGATTCTGGTCTCTATGGTTTTTGGTTGGGTAAAAGCAAAAAAATAGGTGAAGGACTGAAATGCTACTTATTTAACGTAAATTTTGAACGGTCGTTCAAGGGAGGGATCAAATCCAGACGTTTTTGCAAATCATAATGACCATCTTGTAATTTTGAAACTACAGGGACGAAAAGTATTATTTTTGACAAACCAGAAGGACCAAATTTGCAGCTTACTCCTATATATACATTCACAAATATGCCATTGGAATTTTAGTTTTTGATTTTCCTATTTGCAATCCAACCACTAAAAATACCTAAAAATATTGACTCTGTTAAACACTAAAGAAAAATCAATTTCAACCAAATAATAATAATAATAGAATAACATATTTATTTATTATTAAATCATTTTATAGAAATCTTCTATGATTAAAAATATTATTATTTAATCTTAAAAATAATTTATTTAATAAAGTATTCTTCATATTTAAAATGGAGAAAATGTGGTTGGTGAGAAGAAAATTTTCCATATTTGAAAAAGAGATTTTTTTTTTCCATATTTAGAAGAAGGATTAAAAATCTGCAAAACTACATTTTTGGCAAAAATACCATTTAATAAAAAGTGTATTTTTAGAAAGAAAATTATAAAATATTTGTTATTGTATTAAGATTATATTTGGTAAACTAGTTGATTACTGATAAGTTAGTTAATCACTGATAAGATGGTTGATAAATAAATTATTTTTGACAAAAACTAGCTTATAAACATGTAAAATGATTAAAAGGGACAGCTTGACAAAATAATCAATCACAAATAATTCATAATAGAATTTAAATAAATTTCTAAAAATATAATTAAAACAAATTTTAATAGTATAATATGTTGAATAATAAAAATAAGATAGTAAAAGAAATTAAATAATATAATATGT